TTAAACTGACCCTCCACAAAGCTCTTATTAGATCCGTAATGACTTATGCTAGTCCCGCCTGGGAGTTTGCGGCAGACACTCATCTAGTGAAATTGCAGCGCCTGCAAAACAAGGTTCTCCGCACGATTGGCAATTTTCCAAGGCGCACACCGGTCCGCGATTTGCACATGGCATTCAAAATCCCGTACGTATATGATTACATAACAAAATTATGCAGGCAACAAGCAGAAGTCATACAAAATCATGATAATGAGAATGTTCGCAACATCGGACAAGGCGAAGCCCGACACAGAAAGTATAAGAGGCTTAAACTTGGCGGCGGTCAGGCATAGGACCGTTCAAGTGACTAAACTGCCGTGGTAGCTAATACTACTAGGATATTTATAAAAAGGGCATAATCTGCTGTACTGACGGAGGCCGTGTATATATGTACATTTAAATAAGAAATAAGTGTATTATAAATATGTGTAAATACAGACAGTGGACTTAGTACTACAGACTGACTAACAAATGACAGACCCGACCTCTCGTCAGAGAGGGCGCTACACATGGACAAGACAGTAACTTTCATTCAAAAGAAATATCTGGTCATGAGCCCCAGCTGGGGCTCGACACCAAGACAGACAGATTGACTGACCGTCAGTTGCAACGTGACTCAGACTCGGACTCAGATGTTCCCACAGTACCTTGAAATAGCCCATGACATTTTTCTTCTATGTCACTGTTAATTTATCATTCATAATCAGTTAGTCATTTGATCCAATATTATCTATTCAGTTGATTTACTGTGGTTAAATATACCATGAAACATAGCTGTTCTCTGCCAGATGGCAAGTTGCTAACATTCCTGCAAAGTGAGATTTCAGGTTCTCATAGTAGTGACTGTGAAGAACGCTATCTACTGGTTACTGATGCCATATAGTGTGCTACAAGTTGAAGGGTTGCTACATGCTACTTGCTTGCTCAGCTTGGTCTTTAATCCTGAAGATGGAGGCTGTATGTTCTTCAGAAACAATGCCAAACTTCTACCACACTGTCCAGAATCACATTCCAGAAGACACTACTCTTTATCATTCCTGTAATGGTGTCTGCATAAATTCAGATTGGGCCAGAACACACATTCTGGGCAAAGAAAAATTAAAAGAAAGAACTGAATCACTTAAATAGGAGGGAGGGTTATTAAAGTGACTGTTGATTAGGCGAATTGAACGCAAAAATTTATTAGATTTAAATTTTCTTCCAGGAGTTGTGAAGCAAAGTTGAATGAAATTTGTACCTTTATTTCTTTCCTAATGATCTAGGGCAGGCATGTCCAACATCAAACAGGTTGTGATAGACTTTTTAGTGTCAAAACTGCCAGTGATCTACCACCTCCTCCTATCGTCGTAACTCTCTTTAAGCAAAAATATTGGTAAAAATAACACGACACATGATGTTTGTTGTAAAAGCAACATACATTGAAAGTACAGACTACTTTAACACTCATTTTCCCTTAAAAATCTGAATATAATCATATTATTGTGACGTTGGATGGTGAAACAGGAAGTAGGGGTCACGTGAACTCTGCGTTCTCGCGAGTGACGTCACATACCCCCACTCCTTCCATCATTACACAACGTTCGGTAAACACCCCTCCCCGCGAGTCTGTGGCGTCACGCAACACGCGACTTCGTGCATTGGATATTGCTAGGCAATGCGTAGGTAGAAACACCTGACAACAATACCTGATATCTGTTGCCTAGCAGCAAGGTGTTCTCTATGTTGTCCGTGCCGAGCCTAAATAAGGAGCAGCGAACACTATTCAGGAGTAAAGTGCAGCACCTGGAAAACAAGGTTCTCTGCACCATTGACAATTTTCCAAGGCGCACACCGGTCCGTGACTTGCACATGACATTTAAAATCCCGTACGTATATGACTACATAACAAAATTATGTAGGAAACAAGCAGAAGCCATACAAAATCATGAAAATTAGAATGTTCGCAACATCGGACAAAGCGAAGCCCGACACAGAAAGTATATGAGGCTTAAACTTGGCGGCGGTCAGGCATACTACCGTTCAAGTGACTAGACTGCTGTGGTAGCGATTACTACTAGAAATAGAGCAAAATCTGCTGTACTGAGCCTGGATTGACAGGGGCCTTGTATATATTGTACATAGAAATAGGAATTAAGATTAAATTAGTAAATATATGTAAATACTGACAATGGTCTTTCTAACACAGATTATGACTGACAAATGACAGACCCGACCTCTCGTCAGAGAGGGCGCCCCAAATGAACAGGACAGTAACTTTCACACAAAGAAAAAAATCTGGTCATGAGCCCCAATCGGGGCTCGACACCAAGACTTACTGACTGCCTGACCGTCAGTCGCGATGTGACTTTGACTTGATTCAAGAGTAGTTAGTGAGTATTGAGCCAGTTACTAGAGAGTTCGTTACTAGTGAGTAACGATTAACCAGTCAGTTGAATTGTAGCAGTCGCCGAGTCGGGTTGTATCGAGTGCATGGCAGTGACTATAGGAGAAGAACAGTACTAGGTGGTTCAGATATGACCGGGACTGATGTTTTTTAAACCAGAATTGCCAAACACTTACTTGCACATGTCAGTCTTCAACGTACTCCCCTACGGAGTCAACACATTTTTTCCAACTTTCTGGAAGCATCCTGATGCCCTTTACAAAAAAGGATTATGGTTGGCAGCGTATCCGCTCCCGAACACTGTGGATGACGGCGTCGTTGTCCACAAACCGCATGCCTTGCAAGTCTGATTTGAGCCTTCCGAACAGGTAGAAAACACTTGGGGCCAAATCGGGACTGTGCGGCGGATGTGTCAGAAGGTTCCATTTCAATTTCCGGACGGTTTTCATTGTTGTTTTGGCCGTATGGGGGCGTGCGTTGTCTTGAAGGAAGGTTACCCGCTTTCCACCTGTCCTCCGCGTGGATCGGATCTTTTCCTTCACGTCTGTTGCCAGGAGGTCTGAGTAATAAGCTGCATTGACTGTTCTGGCATCTGTCAGAAAGTCTACATGGATAACCCCCTGCCAGTCCCAGAAGAACGTTCCTGCCGAACGGCTCCTCCACGCTCTCTGGAGTTTGGGAGAACTGGTATGCCGCCACTCGCGTGATGACTGCTGGGACTCGGGAATGAAGTAGTGCACCCACGTTTCATCGGTGGTCACTATAGACTTAAAAATGCATCACCTTCGTCTTAAAACTGCTGTAGGAGACGACTGGCAACTTGCATGCGCACCATTTTGTTCACGTCCGTCAAAGTGCGTGGTACCCACCGTGCATTCACTTTGCGATAGTGCAGGTGGTATTTCACGATGTCTTCTACACTACCAACACTGATGGACAGCATTGCTCCAAGTTCCTTGATAGTGATGCGCCTATTCTCACGAATAAGTGCGTCTGCACGATCAATGTTTTGCTTGGTGAAGGATGTTCGCGGCCGACGATCATGCGGTTCACTCTCCACGCGCTGTCTGCCCTCTCTGAAGCACTTACACCACTCAAATACACGGATCCGTGAGAGACACTCTTCCCCTACTGTTGTTGGAATCTGTGGTGAATTTCAGCAGACGGGACGTTTTCTCCAATGAGGAATTTGATCGCAATGCGTTGTTCCACGCTCCGCGGTACCTTCTGTTCACTCATCAGTCTAGCAACTCCCAGACAGGACTGAACAGGTTCTAACCCGAACAGGAAGGAGGATAGAGGTTGTGGCTTCACTCTCTCAAGGTCGCACAGCTGCTGCACAGTGCGGCTTGTTTACACACAAATCAGTCCCGGTCATATTTGAACCACCTTGTATTTGTGATACTGCAGATTTCAGTAACTGGGAAATTGTAAATTGTATAAGTGTAAGAGCGAGTGGAATAAATTAGCTATATCCAGGACGGCGTGAGGTTATTTGTCGCGTGATACATACCCAACACGTCACATATATTACAAGTGAATATACATGCTTTCCTCGTATAATTTCCTTATAGGCCTATGAGATCGACCAAAAATCGTCCCGCGATCAACGCGCTGGACATGCCTGATCTAGGGTAACTGAGTAAAGCAACAGACTATGTGTTGGATGCCTGGGGTTTGACTCCTGGCAGGGGAAAGATTTTCCCTTCTCCATAACATTAAGACTGGCTCTGGGACCTGCCTGTCCTCCTGTCCAATGGGTAGGTGGATTTCCTTCAGCGTAAAGTAACGGAGGTGTGAAGCTGACCACTCACCTCCATCTGAAATAGATCCAAGATCAAGAATGGTGGAGCTGTACATCTGCTCCTTCAAACATATTTATGACAGAGTGCTTAATTGATTAAGCACAGGGGCAACTTTACCTTATCTGCATTCATGTCCTCTCTAAGGGGCCTGTGAATAAGTTTCTCATTCGATTTTGATACACAAGTACTTACTTACTTATGGAGCTGAGCCCTTCTTGAGAAGTCAAATCTGCAGCTACTCAAGAATTGCCGAGAATTTTATGGAACCCGAGGTGGGCAGGGCATGTAGCACAGATAGGGGAGAAGATGAATGCATGTAGGATATTGGTGGGAAAGTCAGAAGGAAAGTGACCGCTAGGGAGACCAAGGCATCGGTGGGTGCATTAAATTAAAATTAGTCTTAGGGAGTTAGGTGATATGGATTGGATTGATCTGGCTCAGGATAGGGACCAGTGGAGGGCTCTTGTGAACACGGTAATAAACCTATGGGTTCCATAAAATGCTGTGAAATTCTTTAGTATCTGCACAATTGGCTTCTTCTCAAGAAGGGCTCAGATCCATGAGCATGTAAGTAAGTAGCGTAATTTGTAGATTCTGCACCCATACATTAAAATTTTAGGATTAGTTTAATATTAATTTCTGGAGAGCTATAATTCTTTAAATGCTTCGAAAACTGAATTAGTGACGAGGCTATGTCATGACAGATGCTTATTTAACTCTTAAATAAACTTTCAGTTAAATTTGTTGGACATGAACAGAGTGCTTTCGTGATAAATTTGTGTTTAAATGGTTTAAATATATTTGCAGAATGTTTGCAAATCAACGAATGCCTGACTCGAATGAATGGGACTTCATGCATGATCATCACGGATTTTATTGAAGTATTATTACGGTGTACATATTAACAATACACATATTTCGTTGATTATTTTGGGCAGTGTTATTTTTCAGCATCATGGCGAACGTCGACAAAGGACGCAGTAAATGGGAAGAAAATTCTCAAGGTAAAAATAATATTGACTTTTTAACTGTAATCTGGGAAAAAACTTATATAGCATGGGTGTTTTTATATATTTCTTAAGTAATAGAATCCGCATATTTGTTAATGCAGTTTTAATAATTACAGTTAGTTGTTACGGAGTGCAGAAAAGCAAGGCTTTTGACTCTTAGTCAACTGGAAATCCTTGCAGAACAACGGTTTTTAGTTTTCGAGGCCATTTGCACAAATGTAATTCTTTAAGGATGCATGAAAATATGCACCTAATCATTTTCTGTAACGCCGAGAGTTGTGGTATATTAATATATGCTAGTATTTTGTTGAACGGGTTTTAGGTTAAGTTTCTTATATTGGGCTGCTAGGCCATTTTTATGGTTATATGCTAATTTTTTGACAATATGTTCCTCGCTGAGATAAATAGTAAGGCCAAGTTATGTTACTTTTTTTTTTTCAGATGTTCAAGATATGAGACTGAAAGATGATGTGAAAGGAAACCGTCGAGGAAAGCCACAGGTTGAGATATATCGCCCAGGAAGTGGCCCATTGCGTAAATCTGCACAGGGAGATGAAGAAACAGTTTTCTTGGATAATAGTCGAAAAGCTAAGTCTTCCATTGAAAATTCGGTTATCAGTAGTGTTTCTGAAGATTTTAAACGTGGTTGTCAGAAGCCAACTAATTCATTACTACAAGAGCACCGTAGCAATAATAGCAAACGAAGCAGTGATATGAAGGAGCCATCTGATGTATCAAAACATAATAGAGGACTGACTGACATTGATGATAGATTGAGAAATACCCACCATTCACTACCTGGATCAAGTGGGGATTATGTGTCTCCAAGAGGTAGCACAAAATCTATAGCTAGTGATACAAAAAGGAAAAGCAGGAAGCCAGAACAGGCAATCTACATACCAAAACCTCTTGCTCAGGCCATTGCTGAACGAGATGTAGCGAATAAATCTCCAGTGAATGTGGCTGAAGGAAAAGTTATTAACAACATCAGCTGCTCCAAGGAGAAGAATATGCTGAAAGGAGAAAAGGAATGTTTATCACAGCCATTTCAAGAAGAGTATTTGAATGAAAATACAGGTCACTATTCACATTCAGATAATTTGAACAGAGAGTTACAGTCACAGAGATCAGAATTGTATGATAGGAATGGTGGGCCTCGGGTAAGTAAGGGAGAAAGTTGCAGGAAGATGAAATATGAAGGAAACAAGAAAAGTGGAAGAGGAAGTGGTGATAGTGATTGGGCTGAGAAAGATGTGGGAAATGGAATAGTTAAACAAGGTGGTGTTACTAGTTCAAAAAGCAATGAATGTAAATCACATTCAATGAGATACTCAGGTAACCGTAAGAATTCTCAGTCAGTTGAAGGAGATACGAAGAATAAAGAAGAGAATCACACGCCATCTTGGAGTTCAGAATGTTCCACTTCTGCTCCTGTATATAACCAGAGAAGGAGTGATATGTCGAGGGAAATCAGGCAGGCTTCAGAACCTCGGGCACTTCTTCCCACCAGTTTGCCTCAGGATGCAAATAGAATGCGAGATACAAGAAGTGTAGAACCTGTGGGAACATCTGGAGCACGTGGTTGGAATGGTGGTAAATTGCAAGCCAAACCTCCATCTGGACGTAGAGGTAGTGTGAAGGATTGCACTGTACTTTCCAGTGCCAATAAGAGTAATCCAAAGCCACACCCTTGCTATGACTCGCTTCCACCACGCCTCAAAAAGAAATATCTGGCAGAAAATATGGTCTCGTCATCGAATTATATTGGAACTACCTCAGAAGATGTATGGGATGGTAGTACAGTAACATTTCAAGGTAGTGGAGGTAATTACCATCAGAACCCTCACCAGCATCGTCATATTCATCAGCATCAGGTTCATCCTCACCACCCGACACCTCCACATTTGTTTCGTCAGAATCAAGAGACATCTTTGCACATGTCACAGTGTAATTCCCAGGAACATTGGGCACATACACTGCCTAACTCACGTGCGAGAGGTCGTGGCAGGCTGAGACCTGATGAGATGGAAAGAACGGTTGCCTGTGCGGCTAGGTTTTCAAGGTCTCTCACACCTGACAGACTCTCAATGCCTCCAACGTCCAACATGGGTCCACCATATTCAGACTGTGGTTTTGAATGTGTTCCAAGCCAGCAAAGTCTCTTGTTGTCAGATGATAGAAAGGGGATAGGTAGTAGGATAAAGACACCGCCTGCATCACCACCTCCTCCACCACCGTCAGTATCACCATTGTCAACATCAAAGGGTCCTCCTCATGATGAAAGAAGAGGGACTTCCAGTAAACCTTCAAATCCTCATTCTGCCAGGCATCGGTGAGTAAGTGTGGAGTAATTTGTGTATGTACATTGAAAGTAACATGGGGGGGGGGAGAGGTTAATGTTTGAAACCATTTTAACTGCTTCCATTATCATTTGGAACATACTTATTTTGAAAAAAAATAGGAGGATTTAATATGAAAATTCAAATATGTCCACAGACTAATTTTTGATTTCATTAATACAATTTTATGTTCCAGTCCATGGGACAAAATGGAATAAAGTGAATTCAGCATAGTGTGAGAGTCAATATATGCAGGATCAAAGAGACTGTTTCAGAGAACATCTGTGGACTTTTACTAAATTACACAGTCTTACAACCGAGGAGACTGTACTCTTCTATACTGCTGTGAGAATCACAGATGCAAAAATAAATAAAGTTGATTCTTAGACGATCTTGCTGTCTTATTGAATGGTTGATTCTAAACTAGTTTACAACAAGGCTGCATGTTTTGATTTTGTATCTCCAGTGTTTATCACAAACATTTATGCGCCTTTCATAAATTGCAGAGTGAGTGCACTGAATAGCTCTTTCTTTCCATTAATTGCATGGGTGTGCAACTTCTTCAAAAATGATATCCTCTATAGCACTTGCTAGTATTTTATAACATTCATATCAGTATATCTGGAATAATATGTTATTATGAACATGTCCACAGAAATTCCTTTCACGATTTTTGAAAATTAAGAGAGAGTGTAGTTTTTGTATTTATCGAGCAGTTTTGATATATTTTTTCCAGTAACATCCCTCCACATTCAGCAAGGACTAATTTTATATTTAATGGAAGTAACAACATTCAAGAAGCTCCACAAGTAGATGGATTACAGTTTCAGCACAAAACCAAATGTATTTTTATAAATTAGCTGAATACATTTTTCATCATCAAAAGTTTTCACAAGATGCTGTAGTTGTTTCATGATTAAATTGTATATGGTAATGTGCATCTTAACCTCCATTTCTTAGAACATTGAACTCTTAATATCCATTGTTTGAAACAGTAAGTTGCCTTTAATAATCTGAGTTATTTAAAAAAATTTCTATCTCTATTGCAGAAGAAGAAGTGATAGTAATCCCTGTGAACTTGGCGATGTATATCAGAACAGAAAACACAGTGAAAAGAAGTCTCAGTTTAAAGAAATTGTAGAGAAAGCCAATCATCCAGAACCAGCTTCTGGTGAGCCATCTAACGATGTGTTACGAAACTCACCATCACCAAAGTTCCTGGACTGGGGTGAGGAAGTAGAACAGAGTGAACGATTGGAAGCCGAAGGGATGCTAAGTGATGTGATGACACGCAGCTCATCCCTTGCTAGCTTGCAGGAAAAGAGCCAAACCCATCCTCCAAGAGAGAGACGCAGGCGCCACAGGAGGTAGGAGAAAATACAGTGGAACCTCGCATAATGAGCATAATTCGTTCCAGAATCTTACTCATAATGCGAAACACTCGTTAAGCAAAACAATTTTTCCCATATAAATTAATGTAAAATACGATAATGCGTTCCATGCTGAAAAAAATACTCAAAACATTTTATGTATAATGTTTATTCAAAGAAAATTATATATACATTGTTAAGGAGCGTGAATCATCTTCATCTTTTCTTCTATGCGGAATGAACTATCTTGAGGATAGTGCAAATCGTTGACGTACACTGATTGTATGTGCGTGCTAGATCAGCCACGCTCACGCCTTGTTCTCGCTTTTCAATGATTTTACGTTTCTACGATTATTTTTATTCTCTTATGGCTGTCTTTTTGCGGCTTTTTCTTTGAGGACATTTTTGCAAGGGTTATTAAACTTTGCACAAAAAAAAATTACAAATAATATGTCTGAACACAAGTTTGGAAAAATGTGTGATCACAAGTGACACTAAGATGCTAGCGGAACCAGTGCTAAACACACACCGATGTAGCAAGCGCACAATCCGGGACTTCCCCCCTCGTCACTTGTTATGCGAAACGTCGCTTGTTAAGCGAGTCATTTTTTTACAATTTGTTTTGCTCGTTATGCGAATTACTCATTATGAGAGGTGCTTGTTAAGCGAGGTTCCACTGTACTTCTGATTTTAATTACATGAAAGTATAAGTAAAAGTAATTCGGATTTCTGATGTGCCATTTGAGAGGTTGCTGTTGCACCAGAGTTCACACTGATTTAGAGTTGATTATGGATACAGTGGAATACTGATCCACATTTCTAGAGTTAAGTTTCATAATGGTAGTAGCTTAATTCTTTAGTTTCCAGTGTTTAGATTTTAGGTTTTGCCCATTGTAAGATTAGAATCTCACAGAAATCTCACATGAGGTATTGGTGTGTGGTAAATTAACCCTTTGACGTGGTCATTTAAATTCCGCGGCCGCGGCTCCTGCGGTAATATATTCAGCCGGCCATTTAAATTTTGCTCGAAAATTATTTATTCATCATTGTTCTTAAATTCTATGAGATAGGAACATGAAACTTTCACTAAAATGCTCTTAAAAGGTGGTTTTATAACCTTACCTTATAATATGCGCGCCCTTTATATCTTCAATGGAAGCAGGTTGTTTAGTATTTGAGCAGTGAATGGGACGCCTTGAAGCATGAAACTTTCACTAAAATTATCTTAAAAGATGGTTTTTATAAACTTACCTTATAATATGAGCGCCCGGTATCTATTCGAGCAGTGTAAGGAAGGCCTTGAAGCATTCGTGTAACCCAACGGTGCCCCACATTCCTCGCTCCGATATTTACGGTCATCCCTCGAAACGACCACCAAGGTCAGTACGATAAAATGACGTCAACTGGAGCGATGATTATGAAGGAATGAGTACTTTTCCCTCCCCCACACACATCCGTATCGTCTCAGGGGGTGACCACAGTGTCCTGCCTTATATTGTGGCGTTTTTCTAAGAAATGGGTGCTATGAACTGTGCGAAAGCAATTGATTTTACGAGAATAAAATTTTGGACAACCCTCTTCTAAGAATTGCAATTGAGTGTGCTACTGTGGCCAGCTCAGGGTAATATGATATTATCAACATCGTAAATATCACGTCTCGGTTGTTTATATCTTCAAAGCAAAGAAAACAGGCCTTTCATAACGGTACAGCTAGAATCCGCTCGCCAGAGCCACAGGAATTTTGCTGCAAGACAGGCATATGTAACGATGACTTATCTCAGCTAAACTCGTTGGCTTAGTATACTCTGTTCTTGTGACAACAGGCCAGCGAAAAATCTAACAATCTACAGCAAAACCACCAATTATTATGGGCGTTATAACATAGGTGTGCAGCTGGACGAAACAGACACGCCGAACCCCCCCAGACGATTTAAATCCCTGACGAACCATACACGACGAACCACGGCAACGGGTTAAGTAAGTAAAAGTAAAGCTATCCCTGTAACAGGCCATGAAGGCTCATAGGGTTGTGAGATGTTGAGGGTCCCACATTATCTAGACAGTCGGCTCAAAGATGGCGGTAAGGTTGTCAGCCTTACGCACCGGCCGCGCTTTACTCCCCAGGAAAATTATTTATTTAATTCCTTGTACTCATTTCTGTTAGAGGCTGAGTGAACCCCAGGGCATACTGCGGCTGGAAGGATTAGGTCAATTGAAAAAATCAAATGACCTCATCGGGACTTGAACCCGTGACCTTCCGGCTTTTAGCATAGTGCGTGCGAATAAAATCTGATTGCGGAGACATGTCTGTCTCTGCTCTTTACTTCTTGTTTGTTGTCTGATATTATTTCTCTATTTTCAGGCGAGGTGGGGAATCACGCCCACTTAATGATAGGTAAGTTTGCGCTAGATGTAATTCTTTACACTACAGAACATTTGTTTCAGTTTTAAGCACTGAGAACGAGCCATGATGGCATAGTTGTTTTAGCGACTTTCTTTGGGCTGGACAACCAAGGGCTCAGAGTTTGAATCCTGGTAGGGTCAAGAATTTTCTCTTCTCCGTGTCATCCAGATGGGCTCTGGGGTCTACCCAGCTCCTATCGAATGAGTACCGGGGGCTTTTTCTTTGAGAGTAAAGCAGCTGGGGTGTGAAGCTGACCACTCACCTGCAGCTAGTGCTGAGATCAAGAATATGTGGCTCTACACATCCACTTCCCCTACACCTTCATTGCATAGTACTTAATTAGTGAAGCACAGGGATAAGCTTTACTGTACTTTTACTTTTAAGCACTGAGATAAATCTCATGCACTGTTCTTTGTAAGCTGAAACATTTTAGCTGTGGAATTAGAACATTGATGTCAACAACTAAAAGAAATATAGCTCAGATTAGGTGTTATTGAACAGTAGGATGATTAATAAATAATGAATTAGAATGTGAAAAGTGGTCATGGCTTATTTTGAAGTGCTTTCCTAGCATTTGCTTGGAGTATCTGAAGAAAGCCATGAAAATCACACAGAGTAGCTTGTCTTTGGGTTGGGATATGAGCCCAGGATCTCCCAAGTGTGACTTTGACATCTGGATAATGAGCAGCCGTTTGTGGCAGGTGTGGGAAATTCTGTCATCACCATATTCTGGGTTAGTGTTCTGACAGTGTACGTAATGTGTAGATTTTGACCAGAACACTGGCTCTTCTAAGGGTTTTACTGTGATTTTCCTTTGCCTTGCACTTGAATGCTGATTGGTCATAATTGTGATCTCTCACATCACTACATACTGGGTATTTTTATTCTGGAAAGAGATTAATTGGAGCAGTGCTAAATAGATTGTTACTTGTAGATTCTGTTTGTACTTTCACTGTTTCAAGTGCCCATCTAGCCTCTGACAGTGATAGTTAGGGACTATTAAACTTGAACTAGCACCACTAATCAGAATATATTTCTTTCTTTTTCAGGAGTTTGAGCAGAGATAGAGGCATAAGGGAACATAATAAAGATCAAAGTAGAGGATATAGCGGTGATCACAGCCATCGTGGTTCAAGTCATGATCAGAATTATAGAAGCTATTGTAACCGAGGAAACAGCAAGGAGAGGAGTAACCGAGGATATAGTAAAGAAAGGAACAACAGAGGTCAAAGCAAGGAGAGAAATAACAAAGGCCAAAGTAAAGAATGGAGTAATACAGCTGAAAACAGAGAGAAGAATAACAGAGGACATAGCAGAGAAAGGAATATGAGGGAACAGAGTAGGAATTTTAGAGGGCACAGCCAAGATCGAAATTATAGAGGTCACAGTAGGGATCGAAGTAACAGAGGACAGAACCATGAGAAGGATCGGCTGAAAGAAACAATAAAGAAACATGAAAATTGGAGAGAGGAACAACGGCAGCAACAACAACCCAGTCACCAACAAAAGAGAGAGAATAAAGAACAGGAAGTTGTGCAGCAGAAAGAGTTGACACAAAAAGATAAAGGTAGCAGTGGAAACCATGTTGCTGGAATCTTGGTGATACCTTCACAAGCTCCTGGCCAGACCGTTCAGCAAAACCAGATGATGGGATTTTGCCAGTCTCAGGATCAGTTAGAATATCCGAGCAACTTTCCAGTATTTCTAGGATGTATCCCAAATTCTGGATCTTTTCAGCAGCAACAGCAACAGCAGCGGCAGCTGTTTGATCCCAACAATCCCAACAAACCAATTATCGTATCTTCTCCTGGGGCCAGAGCAGTGCAGCCACTCCATTCAAGGTTAAGATAATGATAAATATTATTATGTTACTATTGTAAGCTGGAAATACAGGTTAAAGAGTAATTAGAACTTAGAGGGGATTGAATAGTTGTCTTAAGAGTTAGTTGGTAGCTGGAAAGATGTTTATATTTGAGGAACGAAACAAATTTGAGACCTGTTTCGTACTTCTTACTAGGCTGTGTAATAAAGTAAAGCGTATTCCCAGTTTGTTTTTGAAGTTTGGCCTTTGGCAGGGTGTCTTCATTGTGAAACGTACCAAAGCCCAAGGACCGAAAAGTGGTTTGGGATAGGAAACTATATTAACAATACAGACACCAAATGAATATAACAATATAATAATATAATTGATTAGAAAAATACAAACTGCCCCAGATAAGGACGGCACAACGTACAAGCGTCCACCAACTCCGCCGTTAATTTAGTAAACCAAAAATCCAAAAAATAATTTGGGGTCGAGACCAGACTCTTCCACGGCGTGCAGCAGAATGGCCCTCCAGTGTTCAGACGAGCCTCTCAGTCCCTGGTGAAAGGATGAAGGGCGCAAGCGTAGGGCATGTGGAGAGGGGGGAAAGGAAAGAAGGGGGTCTGGTTGAGGGACATGCCTGATGCCTCGGGCAAAACAGAAATTGCGAAAGTTGCGAGATGTGAACTGCGTCGCATTATCGGATACGAGGACCTCGGGAATCCCAAATGTGGAAAAGATGTTCAGTAACACCCGAATAGTCGTGGCGGTGGACGCTTCCCGGACCGGGAAAATCCAAACAAACTTGGTAAAAGCGTCCACACAGACTAGTGCGTAGGTGTTACCTGCCTTTGACCGGGGGAACTTCCCCACGAAATCTACAAACAACTTCTCCAGTGGGCGAGTAGCCACGTCAGAGGCCAGCATACCATAACGGGCGTTCTGGGCGGGCTTACTGAGCCCGCAGAGCTTGCAAGCCCGTACTCTAGCGGAGATATCCGCATCCATGCCCTTCCATATGAAAGATTGGCGAATTTTCCATAGCGTTTTTCGCACCCCTAGGTGGCCCCCACAGGGCGAGTCATGGAAATAACTAAAGAGGGCCGGAATTAAGGCCTGAGGGATGACGATCTTAGGCCGACCGTCAAAACGAGCCTTGCAATAAAGTACGCTCCTAAGTAGAGAGTATCCGGGCACTTCTTGCCCCAGTGACAACTGGTCCATAATGGGACAAATTTCTGGGTCCTTCCTCTGGTGCGTGGCAATATCCTCGAATAGGACAGGGAAATCCAAAAGTAGCGAACATACAGGGTTTTCGGCGCTGGGGTCATACATGCGCGAGAGAGCATCTGCGATGACATTTTGGGTTCCCCTAATGTGCTGCACATTAAATTTGAATGAGGACAATCTCACAACCCAACGACCAATTCTCCCGAGTTGGCGGGGATGGGAGAGACACCACGTGAGAGCCTGATTGTCGGTCTGCAGATCGAACTCGAGGTGTTCAAGGTACGGCCTAAATTTCTCCAAGCCAAAGAGGACTGCTAAGCACTCGAGTTCGTACGTTGAAAATTTTCTCTCAGGGTGGGATAATGTGCGTGAGGCGTAAGCAATAGGCTGGAGCTCACCATCAAACTGCTGTAACAGCACCGCCGCGACCGCCACCGAACTAGCATCAGTCTGGAGCGTGAACCGGCGGGAGAAGTCGGCAGTGCGGAGAACCGGGGGGTTGGTAATGGCGAGCTTCAAATCCTTAAATGCGCGTATCTGATCAGGCCCCCACTGAAATTTGACGTCTTTCTTTCTGAGTAGGTTAAGGGGGGCGGCGTGCTTGGCGAAATGAGGAATAAATTTGTGAAAAAAATTCACCATGCCAATAAACCTGGCGACCCCTTTAACGTCCCTGGGAGGCGGGAACCTTCTAATGGCGTCGGTTCTGCTTGGGTCAACAGAAATACCGGAGGGTCCCACGATGTGCCCCAGGAAAGACAGGTGAGGCGTGGCGAATCTAACCTTTGCGGGATTAACGGTTAATCCTGCGTTGCGCAATCTGAGAAAAACCTCACGCAGATGAAGTACGTGTTCTTCAAACGAATCACTGTAGACGACCAGATCGTCAAGATAGTGAAATACGAAGTTGAATTTTAAGTCGGAAAACACTTTGTCCAACAAACGGGTCAACACCTGGGCTCCAGTTGCCAACCCGAATGGTACCCTAGTGTACTCGTACAAATTCCAGTCGGTGGCGAACGCAGTCAGGGGTTTCGACCGGTCAGTTAACCCAATCTGGTGATACGCCGAATTGAGGTCAAGCGACGTAAACACTTTGGCGGTCTTAAACCAGTGAAAACATGAATGGATGTCTGGCAATGGGACCGATTCAATTTTGATCTTCTTGTTCAGAGCCCGATAATCAATAACCGGACGAAACCCATCTTGCCCTTTAGGCACCAAGAATATAGGGCTGGAATAAGGTGAAGTGGAAGGTTGTATAATGCCTTCATCGAGCACAAGACGGATATGCTGTCGTAATATGTCCATTTTTGGGGGCATGAGCCGGTAGGGAGGAATCTTGACAGGGGATGGATCAAGTAACTCAATGTCATATTGCAAGAGTGTAGTGAGCCCCAATCTTGGGGTTAAGACATCAGGAAAGTCGTCGATGAGGGAGCGCAGGAGGGTAGAGTAATTGTCCTCCAAATGTGACAGATCCGGGTTAGCTGACGTGGCCGCACAATTGCAGTCTATATCAGTTGCATTTGGGAGCTTTAACTTATAAGTTCTTTTGGATTTGAGGTTTTCACAGTAGTAACTACAAAGAGTGTTGTCTTTTGGGATGTAACACCATGTAATGTTGTAGATATTTACCAATGTTTTGGAGGAACATGCTACTTCCATCTTCAAGGTAGGTTCTTCTCTGGGGGTAGTAGTCTTGCTAGATTTAAATCAGAATATTCAAACATTCAGGGATGCGCCAGGTTCTGTAGTCGTGTTCTTATGATCAGAATTAGTGAGGGCTAATCAGTAAAGGTTAGGCACAATAGATCACTATGGTCGTGGTGCAAAAGCCAAGAAGACCCACCCCTTATACATTCAATCAGTAAAGGTAAAGCTGTTCCTGTCCTTGATTAATTAAAGACCATACTGTGATGATGTAAGGGGGAATGGATGTGTTCCTTGACCTCAGCACTAGTTTGAGGTGAGTGGTCAGCTTCAAGCCTCTGCCACTTTACCCTTGGAGAAAGAACTCGCAGTACTCAATGGGAAGAAGGCTGGATTGGCCCCAGAACTGGTTTAGACAACATGAAGAGGAGGAAACTCTTGCTCCTTCTGCGACTTGAATTCCAACCCCTCGGACATCCAGCCTGTAGCCAGTCACTATACCAACTGCGCTATCCTGGCTCCTACAAAGATTAATCAGTAATGAAAGTATATGATGACACAAAATAGGATTTGTAAATGGCTAACATGACTTGTTAATTGTTAAGTGTTAAAGGTAACAGCTTTTCTGCACGCATTTGCTGCCTGCTTCCTGTTTGTACCAGTTTGCTTAGTCTGTGACCCTGAAGATGGGGATAAAATGTCCCTCTGAAATGTTGGTGCATGTCTGCCAGACTTCACAGCGTTACACCCTAGAAGATATATATATATATATTTTTTTAAGTTTTTCTTTATGAGAAGTTCCTTAAAGTCTGTTTTTTAGACATGGCCATGGCTAGATTTTAGTTCCATTGTCAGATCTGAATTTTTAAGGGTACCCAGTTTAGATAGTGCCTGACAAACTGGTTATCTTGCTAAGCATCTTATACTTTTCCTCAGTTTGTTTAGGTAAATATTACATTAGTGCCATATAGTCATCCCCTCTAATTTGCCATTCATGGTCTGTTGTATCTTATTTGCTGATTCTGTACTATCCTAACAGAAGTGGCAGTATAGAGGTTAATATTTCTTCTCTGTTTACAATATTATATTTAAGCATCCTGTTGCACTCTACACGATAAATGATACAAACTCCGTCCTAAGTGCAAACAATATATATTTATATGTCTTTGATCTTGTTCTTTCTACACTACATGTTTCGGCCTCTATCGGCCATCATCAGGTGTATACTCTTAACGTCGCTGCCACACTGAACCCAGTCTAAAACTTAACATTTAAAAACACAATGTCACATTCTTCGTATTATCAACATCTACATCGTTGATATGTGTCTGGTATGTAGATTATGTTTCACACGCCGAACCCGATATTCTTGTAGTAGCACTCTAAAAATCTTTAGTTATGATGTTTTTAAAACCTTTTAAAATTTTCTCCAAATTTTAAATTTAAAATTTAAAATTCTTAGGGTTACTCGCCCTCTTCTCTGTATTTCATGAGTCCTTCACATGATTCTTTGATCCAAAGATAGGCTGTTCTGATTGTGATTTTTAATGCGTTGAAAGTAGACAAAGATCAGTTTACATACTTTCCAAGTCATCGTTCAGAATAATTCTGTCATTTGATACAGAGTAACATATGCAGCTAAGGAAAGTGGTTGAGTTGGTGTATTAATATGGTTTCTGGTACACTGATAGAAAAGAAAGGTGAAGTTGTGTCTGCGCTTGATTAGTTAAACACTCTGCCATGAAGATGTATGGGAGAAGTGAAGATACAGCTCCAGCACACTTGACCTTAGCAATAGATGGAGGTGAGCGGTCAGCCTCATGTTCCTGTCGCTTTACCCCAAGAGAAAGTGCCCCTGGTACCCACTGGGTAGGAGGCTGGGTGGGCCCCAGGCCTAGTCTGGATGCTGTGGAGAAGAGAAAAACCTTGCAATGCTGGGAATAGAACCCAAGATGTCAAGCTCATAGCCAGTTGCTGTACAGACTGAGCTATCCCTACTCCTGTAGTAAACTGTTCGTTGAAGATGTTCTTTGATTGAGTGAGATGAGTGAGGTATAAGTTAATTACATTCAGATTTGATGATGGAATATGCTGTGGGAACAGTTATTTCTGCTTTGTGCAGATACAGAGAATAAAATTTAGTTGGTGTTTTGTTTGCAGGGAAAGTGATGTTACTCTGTCTGTTCCTGCTGCTGGATTTGTTTCAACTCTTCCTTCAGAATTAGGATATGTTCAGTATCCTGGTATGCCTCAATGTCCAGATGGCATGGGTCAGGGTTCGTACATCACTGATCAGTTTGGAAACACTCGTCCCACATGGTATGACCCCTACTCTAACAGGTATGATACTGTTCTGTGTGTAGGTGTGTGCATATGTGCAATGGGAGAATATTCATATTTGATTTGGGGGATTTTGAACTGAAGCATCTGAAATGAAAAATAGTGATTGAATACTTTGAACATTGTAAAAAGAATTGGTATGAGATTTGATGTTGAGCCAGTGATTCATGATAATTAGTTGGTGTATTTATTTATTTGGTTATTTAACAATGCTGTTAGTAGCTCATACCATCATTGTCATTGTCGTCCTCCTTCCTCTTCTCCCCCACCTCCATTATGCTGTTATGCCTATCGAGACCTATTATGCATGTTACAAAACAGAATTCTTTCATCATTTCCAAGGTCTACAAAATGTGTTTTTCCTTTGAGAATAATTTTTGGAATTATGTCATAGCTGTCGTCCTGTCAGCATGTTCTGTATGCTCAGACTACATGCATTAATTTATCTGGTATAATATTCTGGTAACTGACAGAAGTACAGTAAACTCCCCATTATCTTGCATATCTGGGGAATGGGGCATGCCAGTTGTATGGGAGGAACTTTTACAGAAGCCATTATAAAGTAAAAACAACATGGTTTTGCTTAGTTCTTGTGTGGGAGTCTTCCTAGGTGACATCAGAATTATGGGTTAAAGATGTTGGATACGTATACTATAACATCGCTGATCACAGTGGCCACATGGTCTAAGGCATGAAATGTTTTTGCCTGCTCAAATGCTGGGATCGTGGGTTCGAATCCCACTCAAGGCATGGATGTTTGACTGCATTTATGCTGTGTTTGTGTCGTCCTTTGTAGCTAGTGACCTTGTGTTTGGCTGATCCCCCATCCAAGGAGTCCTACTGACTGTCTAAGATTATGAAACTTAAGTGAAACGAAGTGTTTCACGGATGTCCTATGCTCCAAGTGGGAGCAACAGCAACAGGAACAGACAGACAGACAAATTCAGCTAACATCTACTGTAATGGCATCTGCTTAGGAGGTGAGATGGGAGCACTGCTAGTGGTTTTTGGGAGAACTATTGCTTGGAGGGTGAAAATACGATGGGGTACCCAAAAGAAACTGAACTAATTTTTTTGTGGACAGAGCTTTTGTAGTACCACGTTTTGCCGCTATGAGTGCACAGAGCTAACATTCCTGAGTCGATAAGCTGACTACCGTTGCTTCAGAAGGTAAGGACTAGTTTCGGCAGAGTTTATAGTGACAGCTGTTTTGTGTGATCGTCGTTTTTGCAATGGCCCGAACACATGAAAATGTTGAAAAAATTCGTGAAATCATCAAGGAAGATCGACGACGAACCATTGAAGAAATTGTGGAGCTGTCGGGAGTGACTTGGAGCTCAGTTCAGCGAATTTTGACAGAAGATTTGGGAATGAAAAGGGTGGCTGCGAAATTCTTGCCACGACTGCTGACTGCTGAACAAAAACAAGGTCGCGTGGAAGCATGCTGTGCTTTGAAAGAAGAGTCCTGGAATGATCAAAACTTTTTTTTTCAGTGTTTTGCTGATGTTGCTGAGGTGAAGGAAAAAAACAACGGAGGCGCTGTCAAGCATCTCAAAAGATGAATTTAGACAGTGTTTTGAAAAATGGAATAAAAGACTAGACAAGTGTATTAGTGTAAGTGGAGAGTACTTTGAAAGAGATTGAAGGTTTGTGCTTAAAATTTGAATAAATAAGTTAAAAAAAAATAAGTTCAGTTTCTTTTGGGTACCCCCTCGTACATACATTGCAAATTTTTTTCGAATAACTGTAAAAATAGTAGATTTTCTTCAAAATTTTTGCCTGTTGCATGAGACTTCCAGATGCTTGGATATGATGCATAGATAACTGGGAGTTCATTGTATTTAGAAGTAAACAGTACTGTAATAATATACTTGTTGACTTGAAAGGATTCTGACGATTGTGAATGCTGTACAGAACTATTAGGCTTATTATGGACTCTTTCCATCGTCTGGTATAAAGAAGACAAAAAACCACAACATTTCGGAGACTGGATCTGTCTCTGTCCTCAGGTGGATGGGGCAGGATAAACCTACTCAGTTGGGTTTGTCCAGTGTTTGAGACTAGCACTTTCTAACGGGCCCAACTGAGTAGGTTTATCCTGCCCCATCCACTTGAGGACAGAGACAGATCCAGTCTCCGAAACGTTGTGGTTTTTTGTCTTCTTTATACCAGACGATGGAAAGAGTCCATAATAAGCCTAATAGTTCTGTACAATATACTTGTTCTTTTGATTTTTATAAATTAACAAGACTGAAGTAATGGGCCTATCACAAGAAGACTATAATAGTGCACCTATTGTTTCAGCTTTCGAAGTGCAAAAAACCCTCATCTGCTTCTGGATATTGAGCGAGCGGATTTAGAATTGCATCGCATTCTCAGTGCTGGTGATATTCTACGAGACTGGAACCAAGTAGCTTTTATTAGGTAAGGTGCAGATAAATTGATATAGTAGGAGGCATGTGCTACATTATTCCCATTTAAATCATTAGCTATCGATACTGTGCCAGCATATTTAGGCTTCTTAGCTTGTAAATTGTTAAAGACAAAACATTCATAAAATAATTATATTTTCAGTGGGAGAGGAAAACATAGATGTTTATAAAAGAAATTAGAATTGGAAGAAGGAAATATAGCAAGTACTGAGATCAGAAATGAGAAGTATTAAAAAAAAAATGTTCTTTTTATTCTGACTTCTCTAGGGCAGAGTTTCTCTAACTTTGTGATGCTGTGACCCCATACAATAGTACTTCCTGCTGGTCAGTGAAAAGTGTAGTACTGCACTTTGTTACAGGTCCCTATAGGCTGTGCTAGCTGATGCTACGTGTTCCAAAAGTACCTATATTAAATTCTACCAGTATGGAAACATTCTGCATGGATACAGCTATATTTTAAATAATTCTTCAGAAATGGACAACCCCCCCCCCTTTTTTTCAGGTGTTGCTGCCCACAGTTTGAGAAACAGTCCTCTTGGATTATAAGAAAAAAATGGTTTTAACTTTAAGTTTTTAAGCAAATGTTATGCCTTTCCTTGTCCACCAGAAGAAATCCTGACAGCATCCAGGTGTAGAACAAAGAAAATATTGCTTGAAAATGTGGTTGTCTGTGAATTGAATTGAATTGAATTTATTTACATTCTATAAATCCTAAGCAGGTTAGTACCTTTGGATACAGAACAAGTCAAAATGTTACATACATAAGTACAGGCAATTTTAGCTTAAAAATTAATATAACTTAATTTTACATCATTCTCTATTTACATTGAAGTATTCATCTAAAGAGTAGAAGGAATGAGCATGT